AGGCGGTATCCATCACATGTTAAAGGTTATTATGTGATTCAATACTATAACAGATGACGTGATAAAGCCTTAAAAAACTCAGAATAGATAGTAACTTTTGGTTAATTTTTTTGGATAGACTTTGCTATGTGATTTTTGGATAGATTTTTTTTGATAGACTTGGTTATGCGAATTTTTTTTGGTTAGACTTTTTGACTTTAGTATGCATTTTAGACTTGCATGATCAGGCCTAACTCAAATCATATCACTTTGTTCCTTAATTTTCAATGGCCCCTCTAGAGGCAAGCAGAATAGCATAAAAATTATTATTCATATTGGGTTTGAAATGTCAGGTCCAGCTCAAATTACATCACTTTATTCCTTGATTTTTGATGGCCTCTCAGAATAGTAAAAATTTTTTGATATATTATTTGGGATTAAAATCAGGCTAGAATGGCTATATCAAACAGTATAATTCTTGATATCTGAAGGTTAATTCCAAGCCAAGTTCGATATCATCATCTAGAATTGAGTCAAAATGTGCTAAATGATTGAATTTGATATTTTGATTCATATAGCTAAAATTGATTCAGAGGCAAACAGAAATCTTTTTGAGTATTATTTGAATTTTTGTTCCAGAACCACCTTTTTAACCTATATTTATTGACTACTGAATTAAAGATAGAAACACATAAAAAATTAATATCAAAACAATATTATAGTAATAATCAAATCACAATTAAATGTTAATAAAAAAGATATATCTTTGTAATTTATAATGAGTCTGTATTATATGCAAATGATAGAAAAAATATATTAGAATCCTAAAGATCATGTTTTTTAAAAAAAAGAAAATGGATTAAGTCTTTATATTAGTGATATTTTAAATAAAATTGATGGTCATTTGAATTTTAAAATAATAAAGCATGTATTATAATAAAATCTAATAATAATTCTGATAGATGTAAACAAGTGAAAATTTAGCTAAACAAGTACAATATTAAATTTTTTTTTTGTAAAATCATTGTATATTATTCTAAAATTTTATATTATGCAATAGATTGTAAAAAAACAATCCTCTATTTTTAAACAAAAGTATCCTAATATTATACATATTTATATTAATCTATTGATAACAAATCAGTATCTAGTCAAATGTCAATAGTCATCACTATTATGCAATAATAGGATGCCAGTCAGAGAATATTAGATTAAATAACCAATTTTATATTGCAGATAGATATTATTATCATTAAAATACAACTGTTATCAATTAAATAAAACTATTAAATATGCTGATTACTAAAGATTAAATAATTATAATTAGTATTGATAATAATATTTTTAAAAATAAATTACAATTGAAATATATATTTATTTAAGTCTTTAAATAAATCTTATACAAGTCAGAATAGCCAATTGAAGTAACTATTAAATAGTTTATTTATAAGAAATATTAACAGATTTCTCGATTTATTGTAAAATAAAATACTAGTTTATTTAAATTTACAAATTAGCTAAAAGCATATAATAAAATATTGCTAAAAATATTTATAAAGAAAAAATACTTCTGATTTAAAGTTTTTAGCATATATACAATTAAATTTCTAATTATTCTTCTAATAAGATACAATAATATCATCAGTCATATATTTATCTAATCTTCTGAAAAGAGTATTTGACAAATATTTCATGCAAGTTATTTAAATAGTTCTTTTTAAGAAACTTTTATAATCACTAATAGTCTACTTTAAAGATTGAAATAATTCTAACAGCTTTTTATCATAAAAATTAATATTATTATAAATTTGTGTTTACTTTTTTGGAATTTTAGATGATTTGGCAAATATACTATTGATATTATCACATAAAAAATAATTATAACTACAAAATAAAGATTAAAAATGATTTTTATATTGAAATCTTAACCAATTAACATTAATCATTAATTTTATTATTATCAAATATTATTTTAAATCTTTCATAACAATTTTCCTTTTACCAAAAATATTTCATTATCAGTTTCTGAAATTTTCAATAAATACTGTACTATTCTGAAATCAAGCAACCCTTTTTTATTATAGGATTGCTTAATTTTAGGTTCTTTTATTTTGAAGTAAAAAAAAAAATGAAAAAACTATGCATTTAAATGATTATTATACATAATAAACGTCACATGCTATATTGTCACGCATTTAATTATTCACGTGTGAAATAAATATTATGTTGCTGTTTTTAAACCTGTTTAAACTTATTTTATGAGATGGTATCACAAAAAAAAACAAGCAAAAAAGAGCTGCTATTAAAAATGCTATTAGTAAAAATGCTGTTAAACAAAACTGCAACTTATATTCTGTTAAGTAAAAGAGACAAGTTATCACTTATGCTGAGAAAAACAGAATAATTATAGCAACAAGGTTTTTTGAAATTAATAAAGCTATGATTAGCCACTAGGTTAAGTCAAATGTAAAATAGGTAAATGAATCAAATCAAAGAAGCAAATGAGTTAGTTTTGTCTGAAAAAGCTTTTATCCAGAAGCTGAAAAAAAACTATATAATTGGATTATTGAGTAGAGAAAGCAGGGATTAGGTGTTATATATAGAATAGCACAAGTTAAAATGTTAGATATTTTAAATGAACCTGCTATGGTAAGTTTGTATAAGCATTCAACAAGTATATTTAAAACATCAAGCTATTGAATGTTTACATTCATAAGGAGATATAATCTATCTCGATGATGATGCACTAGAATTTTACAAAAACTTCTATCACAAACTAAGAAGTTATTAAAAACTTCTATCAGTTTGTTAACTGTTTTAGAATTGAAAAATCATTTGTGTTATCTAATATTCTCAATATGAACGAAACTTCTGTCTGGATATAGTAGAAAATTTAACTATTAATAGTATAGGTGAAAAACAAAATGGTCAAAAGATTTGACCTAATTTTGTAGATAGAGCTTTTGATATTATGTCTAAAACAAGTTAAATTTGAATTAAAGTATAAATAAAATATAAAATATAGGAATGTTAAATCGAATATGTTTCTCACCTTAAAACTATTAATGATACCTTGATCACAAGGTTGAAGATGCACTGTAGTGTTTGGGGAAAGGTGTTTGATGGTAATATTTTTTAATTGGGTGGTTTCTTATAGAGCATGTATTGGGGCATTATCAATGAGGAGAAGAATATTTCGATTTTACCTTATTATTCAGTTATTAAGTTTCTTAATATATTCGTTTCAAATTGATACTTGCATCCAACTTTTTTATTCCAGTAATATTCAACTGAAAGGGTCTTCTTATCAATATTTTTCAGGACCCGAGGATTTTCATACTTGTATATGAAAAGAGAAGCCAATTTTTCATTCCCAGTTGTATTATATATAAGTAGGACAGTTATACGATCTTTTGATTGTTTAGTTTTAGATATTTAGCCATTTGATATTATGCGACTGGGTTTCACCTTCCAAAATAAACCCGTTTTATCATAATTAAAGACGTCGTTGAGTCATAATTCTTAAGGATGTTATGAATTTTATTATGCATTGCATCGAGATTATCAAGTGATGCATTTGCAGCTTCACTATGTATATTATATTACTGTAAGTTATGCTGTTTCTTGAAATTATCTACCCATCTACTGGAACCTTTAAATTTATCCTTACCACACAAAAAAGCAAACCCTAAAGCCTTTGTCAAAAGAATACTATCAGTTATAATGAGGCCAGCTTGAAACGCATTTTCTACCCAAAGAGTTAAAGCTTCCTCAATAAAAGAAAAGATTGTCTTTTTTTCACATTTCAACCTAGCTTTATATGATTTGGAGTCTACAGCAAGCCAACAGTCCTTTTCTTTTAAAATGTCACTAACTATACCTTTATTAACTTCATATTTATTTGCTAAGTCTTTTGTTTTAGTAATGGGAATAAAGTTTTTTTAAACAAATCTCTTTTTTTATGCAATAGTAAGAGACTTTCATTTTTTTTAAAGGTTCATTACTAGAACTTACTTTCGGCATTCTTATGTTAAAGAAATATGAAAAAAATTGCAAAACATACAAAACAAAGAAACATTTATAAAAAAAATTGCGAAACATTACACGAAGCACTTTTGTTAACTTTATTAAGATACAAAAAATTACAAAATTTCATGATCTTTTCTATTAAAATTAATTTTTGTAAATCTTCATTGTATTAAAAAAAATCTTCATTATAAATAAATACATTATACAAAAAGATATTTATATAATGCATGTTTACACACTTAAATTTGTTAAACATAATACAAATTTTATTTTAATAAATTCAGTATAGTAAGATTTTTTTATTGAAACTCTTTCTCTCTTCTCCCAAAATTTTTGAAAACAAAAATTTTTTAGAAAATAAAAACGTTTTACTTTAAACACTTTTAATATTTTTCAACTCCGTTCAGTTAGTTTATTGTTCCTACTTTACAAACAAATTTTTTTAAAAGAGTTTTTACAAAAATTTACAAACAAAAAATGTGAAAAAACAGCAGACACACTACCAGTCTAAAAAATACTTTTCGTTTTGACCCAAAAAATAAGCAACCAGAAACCATCGCCTTTTCGTCTAAAACTGCTCTTAACCCAATTCTCTCTCTGATGAAGAAATTGTTACTGATACCTTTAGACCAAAACCCACTCCGCCTCCCAACATTTTGGACAAAGATGAATATGTTCCCATCAAAGACAACGAAAATATGGAAACAGACAGTCACAATTTTATTACTATTTCAAAACCAACTGCCTTCGCCTATACTTCCACTATCAACAAAATGGTGAGAGAACTCACTACTTAGCTCATTATTAAGACCATCAACAATCATTTCGCCCACAATGACGTGTTCAAAAGCGTTAACGTTCATCGCGTTAATTTTGTTCATTCCACAGTGATATATATTGCAGATCAGGAGTTGATGATCTCTGCCTCCTCAATGAAATTTTCCAATTTAGGAATTGACTAGCTTATTGATTACAAAGATTATAAGAACAACATGCAATTTCAACAACGTACCTTGCATATTACGGATATTCATCTCAACGTTAAACAAGACTCCCTCACCTCTGTTTTTACCAAATATGGAAAAATCACAAATGTCAAAATGCAAACACAAGGTATGTGACAACATGCTTATGTTACTTATGAAGATCCCAACACCATCCAATTATTTTATACTCAATGGTCATGATACTTGTACAATTATTGTGTATAAGTTTACCCAGCTGATCTCACCCCTAAACATGTGAAATATAGAAATGATATTCAATTCAAACTGACCAACCTTCCCTTTAGAATAACAGCATGTGATCTACAAGATATTATCATCGCCACTAATGCAAAAAGTTGCTATATTCCGAGATCTAATAATTATAAACCAAAACCTTTGCCATCCTTTATTTTAATTCAAAAGAAGCACTTAATGACGCTATTAAAATCAACTATGCCTTCAGTGACCAAGAGTTACAATAGTATGCAGCAGATCTTAACTGCTGTCACAAGTGTGGCTCTACGGAGCATATTGTTATGAAATGTCCCCAGATCACATCTCAAGCAAAGAATGATTCTGATGATAATAAGCGTTCTCGTTCCCATCTCCCTTCTGTCTAAAAACTATATAATTATTATAAACCTGCGGGTTCTCGTAACTTAATCATTAAGAACAATAATAATAGAAATGATCGACCTCTAAATGATCGTAATACAGACTCCCGCCAAAGTCTCTGGACACTTTTTGGCTCAATATAAAACTTAAAATTTTTAAATTTTATTAAAAAACATTTATTAATATATTTACTAAAATATGATATGCTACACATTTGATACTAAATAATTAGTACTTGGTTAGACCTCTATTTGCTTCAATCACAGTCCTAATTCTCTGTGACATACTCCTCATCCCTAATTACGTCTTTTGCTAACACTCGTATTAAGATCTTTATGATCAAGAACTTTATGGATGAACTGCCTGTCCTTAGTAGAATGGAGCAGCTACGTACTAATCTTTATAAAAATCGGAATTGCCTTAGATGCAATGATATGACAGAAACACCTACACATCTCAGGACTTGTTTTATTTGCTCTAATACAATGACCAATATCATTTCACTCACCAAATCTTACATTGTTACTCTGCTCAAAAATTATCCTAATTTTGTTGAGTCCTCTTCTCTTTCTGAACTTTTGGATCTCTTTGACCGCATCTTTGCTTTACCTTCTTCTAGCAATGATGGTTACATTAATATTATTCGACTCTGAATACCATCATCATTAGTCAACTTGATTCACTCAATCACTTGTAACAAATCAAAGTGCTTCTCAACTTACTACTTTCTTTCTCAAAGAACTCCCTGAGAAAATTTGGAAACCTCGCTGTCAACTTATAATCGACAAAAAATGATTTCTAGGAATCACAAAAATTGATAAATTCAAGAAAGACGCAGTTTTAACACTTGCTCACTCAACCGATGATCATGTACCTAGTTATACATGAAGTCGAAATGGATCATTTCGGATATCCGAAATGGTCGAAATGGTCGAAATCATTTTGACCATTGAAGGCTAAAGTCGCGAAATAGTCGAAATGACGTCATATCACATGATTTTTCATATTGA